TTCACGCGCATCTCTTTGACAAATCGTGCGCTTGTCTCTGATAAAAACTGGCCTGTATTTCCGAACCATGGCGCGATGAGCACTCAATAATTCTATGAAAAAGACAGCGACATACATATATATATATATATGTACGCGCACTGTCCGATTGGCGAGTACGTATATGCTACTACCGCGACTGATTATGCACAATGTTGCCAATGCACTAGCCTCCGTCCAGTTCCTACATGAACAAATCAAATACTAACCCTTGGAAACGTAACCCTTAAAAGCCCGCAGTTATCCGAAGGGTCGTACTATGCAGTCTGGGGGGATTTAGGGTTTTGGTTGTCAACAAATCCTAAACTCTCAACACCAAATCCCCTAATTACCCTCTGACTCTGAAACCCAACCCCAAACACACTAACTAACACCCTAAAAACCATGAAGCCCCAACCCCTAACCCTAAAACCCCCCGCTAAACCCCAAACCCTAAACCCCTAAACCCTAAACCCTAAAACCCTCAAACCCGAAAAGCCTAAAGCCAAGAGCCTGGGAATGGAAGAAGCGTGGGTATATCGGCGTCTGATGCTTGCCGAGATGGATCCGGTCTCGAATGAAGCCGAAGAGCATGTAGTCCTCTCGCAAACAAAATGGGTTTAGGGTTTAGGGTTTAGGGTTTAGGGTTTAGGGTTTAGGGTTTAGGGTTTAGGGTTTAGTGGGCCTGAGGGTTTTTAGAGGTGTGGGCTTTTATGGTTTGCATATTGTCCTCTCCCAAGAAAGGCTCTAAGGCTTAGGGCTGTTAGGGGTGTAAGGTCTGGGGTTTAGGGTCTGTATGTAGTACTCTCGCACAGAAAGGCTTTCTGGCTTAGGAAATGGGGTAAGGTTCAGGTTGAGGGTTTCGGGACGCTTAGGGTTTGTATGTAGTCCTCCCGCAAGAAGCTTGAAACCAAAAACTTACGGAGGGTAAGTAAGGTTTAGGGCTTAGGGTTTGTATGCAGTCGTCTCACAAAAAAAAGCTTCAATGCATTTGGTTGAGGGGGGTCAGGTTTAGGGTTTAGGGGTCTAGGAAGCTTGCGTCGTCGGCTCTTGGAACCTATGTTATCCCAAAACTGCTTCAAGAACGTTCGAACCGAAAACTCACATGGGTAGTTTTCTGAACTAGGGTCCCTTCTGACATTCTAGGGTCCTTTGTATTCGGGTGCCCTACTGTTTTGGGGGACCTAAAAAGGGACCCTAATTCAGACAAGTACTGTTGATGATATAAATCCTGCATTGCCTTCAGGACCCCAAACTATGGGAACTTATGGTACAGTCCTTATTATGGCTAATGCAGGAGCCCTAAACCCTTAACCCTAAACCTTAAACCCTAAACCCTAAACCTGAAACCCTAAACCCTAAACCCTAAACCCTAAACCCTAAACCCTAAACCTCAAACCTCAAACCCTAAANNCCCTAAACCCTAAACCCATATCCGGCAGCCTCCCCGCCGGGAAATCCCCGACCCTGGATCCCCGATCCCTGCCACAACAGCAGCAGGTGCCGGGATCTCTTCTCGAAAGCCCTAACAGAACCCCCCCAAAGGTACCCCACACCCAAAACATTGTAACATCTCAAAACCTTAAAGCCTAAACCCTAACTC